CCTTTGTCTTTCATGACACCAACAATTTTAAAGTTCAGTACAGTTGTTTTGTACAGTGTTTCTCAACTTGCATTTTTTTCTGATTGTTTTTTCATACTTAGATTCATATATGCTTTTTTTTGTAAGGGATACTACGTAAGAAATGCTGTGTCCTCAGTACCTCACATCAGGAAGTACATAACGCCATTGTATCCAATAACTGATAATGGTAACTTTGATCATTTGATTAGGGTGGTATCTATCAGATTCCTCCATGGTAAAGGCAGCTTTTTTATCTCTTGGTAATTAATAAGAGGAGTCCCTGGGTGGTGCAAATGGTTAACACACTCAGCTGCTAATTGAAAGGTTGAAGTTTCAAGTTCACCCAAAGGTGCCTCAGAAGAAAGATCTGGAGATCTACTTCTGAAAAATCAGCCATTGAAAACCCTGTGGAGCACAGTTCTATTCTGACACACATGGGGTCACCCTGAGTTGGAATCAACTCAACAGCAACTAGCTAATGAATAAGAAATTTGAGGAATACTTTGAGACTGTGTAAATATCCTGTTCCCTAGTAAACTTTCACCCAATGATTTTAGCATCTACTGATAATTGTTTCTGAATCGACTATTACTATAATTGGTACAAAATGGTGGTTTCCTGATTTCACCAATCCTTTTACATGTATTAGTTGGCATTTCACTGTAAAGAAGAGATTTTGCTGCTCCCCTCTTTATATGTTTTTATTTGTTTAAATTTTTAAGAATACGTACGGACTCATGGATTCTTTTTCAATGTATCATAATCCATTTCTATCATTGTTCACTACTGATACTCGAATTGTCCCAGCTTTGGCATGTGGGGATCCCTTCGAGCTGGCTCCTGTTTCCTTTTCATGTGTCTTCATCATTCTTTGAAAATCTCCTTGCTTTCTGGCACAAGATCTTTCAAACGCGTTTTATACTTTCCCTGTCTCTGCCCTAGAATTAGCCATTTCTCCAAGGAGTCTGGTTCCTTTTAGTGGAGAATGGTATTTTAGAAACCAAGGTCTGGGGCTTGCAAGTTGCTATGATGCTGGAAGCTATGCCACCAGTATTAAAATACAGCAGGGTCACCCATGGCAGACAGGTTTCAGCTGAGCTTCCAGACTAAGACAGACTAGGAAGAAGGATCTGGCGGTATACTTCCGGAAAGAATTAGCCAGTGAAAACCTTATGAATAGCAGCGGAATACTGTCTGATATAGTACCGGAAGATGGGCCTCTCAGGTTGGAAGGCACTCAAAAGACGACTAGGGAAGAGCTGCCTCCTCAGAGTACAGTCGACTTTAATGACGTGGATGGAATCAAGCATCCAGGACCTTCATTTGCTGATGTGGCACAACTCAAAATGAGAAGAAACAGCTGCAAACATCCATTAATAATCAAAACATGGAATGTACGAAGTATGGGTCTAGGAAAATTGGAAGTCGTCGAAAATGCAACAGAATGCATAAACATCAATATCCTAGGCATTAGTGAGCTGAAATGGGCTGGTATTGGCCATTTTGAATCAAACAATCATATGATCTACTACTCCGGGAACAACAACTTGAAGAGGAATGGCGTTGCATTCATCGTCAAAAAGAACATTTCAAGATCTATCCTGAAGTACAATGCTGTCAGTGATAGGATAATATCCATGCACCTACAAGGAAGACCAGTTAATACGACTATTATTCAAACTTACGCACCAACCACTAAGGCCAAAGACCAAGAAACTGAAGATTTTTACCAACTTCTGCAGTCTGAAACTGATCAAACATGCAATCAGGATGCATTGATAATTACTGGTGATTCAAATGTGAAAGCTGGAAACAAAAAGAAGGATCAGTAGTTGGAGAATATGGCCTTGGTGATAGAAAGAACACCAGACATCACACGATGGAATTTTGGAAGACCAACAACTTCATTGCAAATAGCTTTTTCACCAACATAAATGGCAACTATACACGTGGACCTTGCCAGATGGAACACACAGGAATCAAATGGACTACATCTGTGGAAAGAGACAATGGAAAAGCTCAGTATCATCAGTTAGAACAAGGTCAGGGGCCGACTGCGGAACAGACCATCAATTGCCCATATTCAAGTTCAAATTAAAGCTGAAGAAAATTAGAACAAGTCCACAAGAGCCAAAGTACAGCCTTGAGTATATCCCACCTGAATTTAGAGACCATTTCAAGAACAGATTTGATGTGATGAACACTAATGATCAAAGACCAGACGAGTTGTGGAATGACATCAAGGACATCATACATGAAGAAAGCAAGAGGTCATTAAAAAGACAGGAAAGAAAGGAAAGACCAAAATGGATGTCAGAAAAGACCCTGAAACTTGCTCTTGTACGTCGAGTAGCTAAAGCAAAAGGAAGAAATGATGAAGTAAAAGTATTGAACAGAAGATTTCAAAGGGCAGCTCGAGAAGACAGAGTAAAGTATTATAATGACATGCGCAAAGACCTGGAGATGGAAAACCAAAAGGGAAGAACATGCTTGGCATTTCTCAAGCTGAAAGAACTGAAGAAAATATTCAGGCCTCAAGTTGCAATACTGAAGGATGCTATGGAGGAGATATTAAATGATGCAGGAAGCATCAAAAGAAGATGGAAGGAATACACAGATCACTATACCAAAAAGAATTGGTTGATGTTCAACCATTTTAGGAGACAGCATATGATCAGGAACCGATGGTACCGAAGGAAGAAGTCCAAGCTGCACCAAAGGCTCTGGCAAAACACAAGGCTCCAGGAATTGATGGGATACCAATTGAGGTGTTTCAACAAACGGATGCAGCACTGGAAGTGCTCACTCGTCTATGCCAAGAAATTTGGAAAATAGCTACCTGGCCAATCGACTGGAAGAGATCCATATTTATGTCTATTCCCAAGAAAGATGATCCCACCAAATGCAGAAATTGTTGAACAATTATGATTAATATCACACGCAAGTAAAATTTTGCTGAAGATCATTCAGAAGCAGCTGCAGCAGTATATCAACAGGGAACTGCCAGAAACTCAAGCTGGATTCAGAAGAGGAAGTGGAACAAGGGATATCATTGCTGATATCAGATGGATCATGGCTGAAAGCAGAGAATACCAGAAAGATGTTTACCTATGTTTTATTGACTATGCAAAGGCATTCGACTGTGTGGATCATAACAACTTATGGATAACATTGCAAAGAATGGGAATTCCAGAATACTTAATTGTGCTCATGAGGAACCTGTACATAGATCAAGAGACAGTCGTTCAAACAGAAGAAGGGGATACTACGTGGTTTAAAGTCAGGAAAGGTGTGCATCAGGATTGTATCCTTTCACCAAACCTACTCAGTCTATGTACTGAGCAAATAATCCAAGAAGCTGGACTATGTGAAAAAAACGGGGCATCAGGATTGGAGGAAGACTCATTAACAACCTGCAATATGCAGATGACACAACTTTGCTTTCTAAAAGGGAAGAGGACTTGAAGCACTTACTGGTGAAGATCACAGACCACAGCCTTCAGTATGAATTATACCTCAACATACAAAAAAAAAAAGTCACAACTGGACCAATAAGCAACATCAGGATAAACGGAGAAAAGATTGAAGTGGTCAAGGATTTCATTTTACTTGAAATCAACACCCATGGAAGCAGCAGTCACGAGATCAAAAGATGCATTGTATTGGGCAAATCTGCTGCAAAAGGTCTCTTTAAAGTGTTGAAAAGCAAAGACATCAGGTGCTCCTGACCCAAGCCATGGTGTTTTCAATTGCCTCATATGCACGTGAAAGCTAGACAATGAATAAGGAAGACCGAAGAAGAATTGACTCCTTTGAATTGTGGTGTTGGCGAAGAATACTGCCAAAAGAATGAACAATCTGTCTTGGAAGAAATACCACCAGAATGCTCCTTAGAATCAAGGATTGCGAGACTACGTCTCACATACTTTAGACATGTTATCAGGAGGGATGAGTCCCCGGAGAAGGACATCATGCTTGGTAAAGTAGAGGGTCAGGGAAAAGAGGAAGACCCTCAACGAGATGGATTGACACAGTGGCTGCAACAATGAGCTTAAGCATGACAACGATTGTAAGGATGGCGCAATACTGTTTTCGTTCTGTTGTGCATGGGGTCGCTGTGAGGCGGAACCAACTCAATGGCATCTAACAACAACATTTCTGTTCTCTTGAGTCACCAGATGCAAGACTGGTGTGGTCATTTACCTGCATGACTTTTGCAATTCTCTTCATTCTTTGGGGCCTTATTCTTTATATGAAAAACAATTGGATTAGATAAACATTTAACCTTTTTGGGGTCAACAACATTTGGGAATCTGATAAAAGCTACGGTCCCATCTCCCAGAGACATGCTGAAATAAGCAAAAATTTACATACATGTCAGGGGACTCCAGGCCCCAAACAAAGCCCCTTTGAAGCCCCAAACCCTGGATTAAGTGATTTCTAAGGTCTCTTCAGTTCTGTCATTCTGTCATGCTGTCAGAATGACTCCTAGGAAACATCAAAATGTGGAGGGATTTACATGGAAGCAAGATGAGGAAGGAATGCAGAAAAAGGACCCTGTGAGCAGCGCATTGCTCAACTACAGTTCTTTGCCCAGCCAAATTTAGGGCGCAATGTACTCATAGGTGACAGGTTTTGGCGGGAAGGTCCCCCGGTGGTCGGAGAACGCTGACTTTTAGCTGAATCCAGGTCGCTGCACCCCTCGACAACGCCTGCAGGGCTCGCTCTTGCCCTTCGTCTAGGAGGCCGAGGAACGGGGCGGGCTGGGCGATGACCCCGCCCCTGGCAGGAGCGAGGCGGTGGGGAGAGCGGGGGCGCGGAGCCCGGAAGGAACGCGCCAGGCAGGCTCAAGCCCCTCCCCAGCTCGCCTCCCTCCTTCCCACCCCTCCCGCTGCCGACGTCGGCGGTGCTCCGGTCGCCATGGTGACCAATTGAGGCCTGGTCCCGCCCCCGCCTCCCTGCCCCGGCCCCCTGACGTCGGTGCACGTCAGCGGCGGCGCGCGCCTGGCTGGGCCCTGCGGAGCGGGAGGGAAAGAGCCACGGAGCGAGCGGAGCGGCTGTCGCCGAAGCCGAGACCTCCAGCCCGCCGCCCGTCTGCGCTCCAGTCCGCCGTGCTAGCAGCGGGGCCCAGCATGGTCATGGCGGATGGCCCGAGGCACTTGCAGCGAGGGCCGGTCCGGGTGGGGTTCTACGACATCGAGGGCACGCTGGGCAAGGGCAACTTCGCCGTGGTGAAGCTGGGGCGGCACCGGATCACCAAAACGGAGGTGCGGCCCGGGGAGAGGGGGGAGCGTCCGAGGCGAGGGTTCAGGAGCAGAGCTGTTTACTGAAGAGGCGGTTGCTGTGGTGGGACTGGGAGACCCGGCAGGCCGGGTCACCAGCTGAGGCGAGCGGGCCCGGGACTGCGAGGACCCAGTTGCTGCAGGGGGTCGGGAAGCACCGAAGGGATCGGGGCCCGGTCTCCCGGACTCGAGCGTCGTCTGGTTGGAAAGCCGATCACCCGGGGCTTTGCTTTCCCCCGTGCCATCCCCGGTGGCCACACGAAATCTCGCCCAGAGCCTCCCACCGGGCCGTGACCGGGTCTGTGGCCTCCGCTCCCTAGCCCAAGTTCCGCGTCTTCCCTGCTTTCGGCTGGGGGTGGGGTGGGAGGGGAAGTCTCCGCTCTCCTGGGCTGCGCGGTGAGAGACGTCGGCAGCCCGAGGAGGGGACCGCCTGCGCTCGGGCCCCGCGGACCCCGGCGTCCTTGCCCTGCCCAGCGAGGAAGGGACCCCCGCGCCCGGGAATGCCGGGACAGTCACTGTGCATCTTCTCTCCCTTCGTTTTCCCAAGTGTGTCTCTGATTTGGTGTGAGACTGACTAGATCTCGTGCCTGAAGCATTTCCATCTAATGCTCCAGACAATAGAACTGGTTAAGATGGTCACCTAGATTTGCACAATTGGTGAGTTGGTCTTTCTTATCTAGAGTTGTCTCTTTATCAGGTGTGCTAAAGGCTATGAATACACGTTCCTTAAACCACATACGATTCTGCCTCTTTGCTCTTAACCCCCTCAACTGCTTCCTGAGGGTGACTCCAGCATCTCTCCTCCATTGCACATTCTAATGCACCGCACATATTTTCTCACAAGTCTCTGTGCTTACCTAGCGCACTCCCTTTCTTCCACTGCCTCAAGCAGCTCTCCTCAGGGTCTCTGTTTTAAGACGTGCAAATTAAATAGCTTAGAGAAAAGGTAGAAACAAAGGTATTCTTTTAGAAACCTTGTGTTTTTGACATACTCTACTCAGCTTTATTGTAGTTGCTACTGGAGTTTCATCCGTTTCTCTATTCAGTCCCCCCACCCCTTCCTTAGTACAAATATATTGGAGCTTGAATGCGGAATAAAGTTAATATACGTTCTCTTTCCAGACGACTTTTTTCAGAATGTCTTATGTAAGGTGAAGGGCATTGAAAAGTTGAGTAAATTTTGTAGCTTTTGTTGTTGTTAGAAGTTTCGCTTGATGTGAAGGAGCTTGTTTCCAAAAGGAAAGGGAATGTGTCATTTTATCATCTTCACTTTTTGCCCTCTTCCGCTAATCGTAAATTTGTCTTGTTTTTTAGCATCGGGACTAAGGTCACAGAATTTCCTCTCAGTAAATTTACCAGTGTTAGCAATCTAGATTAGGTTGTAATGAGTCTATAATGTGGCGGTAATGAAATTACTAAATCTTTGTGTAGCTTAGTCTGATCCTCAGCATTTTAAAAAATGAAAAAAGGAATTGGCTTCATTACTCTAAAGAACTATACTGTAATGCCGTACTAACCGGTTGCCGTCGAGTTGATTTTGATTATTTCCCCTTAAACTGTAGAAAAGAAGGCATCTTAAATTTTATATGAGACCTTGCTCAGTGAGTGTCAAATAATCAAATTGTGCAATGAAGAGGTTCTTTAGAGCTTTTGAACTAAATTATGTGGTTGAATTCCGAGCTCATCAACTCCTATCAGTATTAGTAACAAGATTTAATTAGGTCAGCTGTTATTCATCAGGTCAAATTCAGATACTGTCTATTTAGTAGCTGCTTGAGTGAGCTGGAGCCCTAGTGGCGTTCTGCTGCTAACCAAAAGGTCGGCAGTTCGAATGCATCAGCCGCCCTTGGAAACCCTGTTGGGCAGTTCTACTCTGTCGTCTAGGTTCGCTGATTTGGAATTGACTTGACGGCAACCGGGCTGATTTGGTGAGTGGAGCTGACACTCTTGAGACTAGCATAGCAATTCCAACTGTCCCTTTTAGACTGATAAGTCTTACTGAGCTAGGGGGCACTGTGGAGTAGTATCTTTTGCCTATCAGATATAGTGAGATTAATGCATTTGTGATTCAAAACACAGGTCACATCACGGAAGATCACTCAGATGTTAAATTGTGTTATTAAAAGCTAAATTTCTAGTCTATAGAACTCATCTCCCTTTTGCTTTTCAAAAGAAGGTACCATTAATTAACATGTAAAAAGAAACGTGACTTTAAGATGAGTGAGTGTGAGTATTTGTGGTGATTTGGTGTGATTGGAGACAATATATTAAGTCCCTAGGCGGCAAAAACGGTTAAGCACTGGATTACTAGGATCGCTATGAGTTGGAGTGGACTCGCCGGCAGCGGTTTTTTTGGCGGGGGTTTACTAGCCGGAAGGTTGGTGTACCGTCGCCACCCACCCCCCACCCTCCCGACAGACTTGGCTGTTTGCTTCCAAAAGGTCACAGCCTTGAAAACTCTATGGAGCAGTTATGCTTTGCACACACATGGGGGGGTTGGTTGCCATGAGTCAGAACTGACTTGATGGCAACAAACAATAAGGTGGAAAGGGGTGAGGGAAATGGCAAGGTAATCACTGAACAGAATAGTTCCTGTTTATCCCAACTTTTGTAAAGTTGTTCTGTGAACTCTTATAGGTAGTTTACATTAAGAATTGTTTAGCAAGGGCACAGATACAATTGTTTCTTAAAGTATACATACCGTTTGTTATTAATGAGTTTTTTAAGCATTATTTGTTATCTTTATTCACTGGACAAATATTTGTGTGTCTTTGGTAAATAGAACAGCTACCTCAAATGCTAAAAAGAAGATGGCTAGTGAATACTTTAAAGTTGTACTTTAAATTACTTTAGGTTCTCATTATGGTGTATACTATAGTAATTGCAGTGAGAACAATTAATATGGTATAAAGAATAATAGCAGCAAAATATCATGTTCATAAAAGTTTCTTCAATTTGGTAAGCTTTGACATCAGTACAGATTTGTGTGTTTTAAAATTTAGAGGTCTTTTTTCCCAAGTTTGAACCCAAGGCAAATTTCAGGGCTTAGTTTAAACATCTAGATGATAGATAAACAATTGGACCTTTTTGTTTCTAGTTAGCTCTTCTCCATCTACTGTTCTCTATCATTATCATCCCCCCCCCCCATATGATGTGTTTTCTACAGATCTTGGAAGATGCAAGTCTGTTTGCCTTTTAGAAAAAAAAGTAAGACAAAGAGAGCTTCTTATTGGTCTAACCTATCGAATAGCCAACACCGTTTAAGAAATGTAATTACTTAATCATCTGAAGCAGTATTCTTATGTCAGATCTCTATATGAATTTTGCACTCAAAAGGGAAGGCAGATGGTGGTGGAATCCAGCTTCCTAATGTAATAGTTAATAAAAGCTTTGTAGTATGGGTTTGTGGTTTATGAATTAGAGAAGGTAATTTTATAAAATTAGCATAATGGGAAAGAATAACAGCATTAAGGCTGTTAAACTATTTTAGGCAGTAGTGGTTGTTAGTTTGCTGTTCCATGAGTATCCTTGAGTAGTCTTTTATTAACTACACCAGAAAAGAAGTTTTTCCTTCTAGCTAATTGTATAGCTAGTTTTGGGGGGTTTTTTGTTTGTCTGTTTTTTTGTTTTTTAGTCTTTCAAGTAAAATTCCAGAAAAGCCTCTTATGTCCTTAATTTTTTTGTTTTCTGATTATTAAAGAAATATGGTCTTATTGTAGCAAATGTAAAGAAGAATAAACCAAAACAAAAAAAAAAAATCGACTGCTTTGAGTCGATTCCAACTCATAGTGACCCCATAGGGTTTCCAAGTTTGTGAATCTTTACGGAAGCAGAATGTCAAATCTTTCTCCCGTGGAGCTACTGGTGGATCACTTTACCACTGTACCAGAGTATAGTGCTCAAAAAAGTTTATATATAATCCCTACACTAATGGGAATAAGCCATTATTAACATTAAGACCTATTTCTCTCTAGTCTTTTTTTAATGCTCTTTTTTTCCATAGATGAGATTACCTGGTACACATATATAACTTATATTCTTTTTTTCTGCTTATCATTATAGCCAAAACATTTTGCTTGTTATGTATAACTTTATAAAACATTTTTAATTGCTGCATGGAATTTTACTTTGTGGTTGAATCCTATTTTGCTTAATTATTCCATTGAATATTAAATAGTATCCAGTTTTCACTTATAGTAAATAGTGTTGAAGTGAACAGTTTTGTATATATAACCCTGAATCTGCATTTTTAATATTTTGAGGGTAGAGGGATTGGGGATAAATTCCTAGAAGGGAAATTACTTAGTAAGAAAGTATTATTTTTTACATTAAAGAATAATGTATTTTTTATTGCCAAATCTATCTTGCTTATTATTGAAAAATTAGAAAGTGTAGATAGAGGAAAAGAAGAAATGAATCACCTGTAATATCAACTCCCAGAGATAACCACCATTCATTACTTTCAGACCTTTTCTGTGGCAGGTTACTGAGTTTTACTCAACACCATACCTCTTGTACTGATTCACTAAAGAGCATGTAAATTTGTGCTTCCTGGAATCTGAAAGATATTTAACAGAGTTTCTGAAAATTACCTTATTAAAATGGCATGTAGGTGTTAGGCAACTTCTCTTATCCTTAAGAAAACCTGGAATGCAAAACTGCAATCACGGACATTCTAAAAACTGCTTTTGTTCACTGAAAAGCTTTCTATGCACATTTTAGAGCCTTTGTAATTAGTCATAATTCTTTAACTACTACCTTAAAATGTAAGAATTTTTAAAGCTTTCCAAAATAGTTGAGAGTATCAAAATTGCATTTTTATAGCAAGGGTAGAAACAAGAGAAGGGCGTAATTCCATCCTGATTGCTGTGTTTCTTGACAAAAATAACTTATTTATCTTTTAATACATTTCCTGTCTTTCTTTGAATTTTATATTTTGCATTAAAATTTTAAGACTCCTCTATGTAGTCTGGGTATTAATCTTG